GGCCGCTGAGCCTGCGCGTCCGGAGCCTGCGCGTCCGGAGCCTGCGCTCCGCAGCGGGAGAGGTCACAACAGTGAGAGGCCCACGTACCGCAAAAAAAAAAAAATTAAGGAGAGAGAAAATCTCTCCAGACAAACAAAAGCTGAAGAAGTTGATGATCACTAGACTTGCCATATATGAAGTGCTGAAGTGAGTGACATCAGCACTGTGTTGGCAGAAGGGATCCTTCCTTTTTGTCCCCCCACTTAAAAAAAATCCACATATATTTACTACCTATGAATTCTATTTTAGATGCTCATGAAAGCAGAGGATGGGAGGAAATAGTTCCCAAGCTTCAAGAAATTAAAGATTTAGATCTAACTATACAAAATATGATGATAAAATGGTAAAACACTAATTGCTAATGGGCTTCAGAGTAAGGAAATTATGCAATGAAGCTTTAAAAAATATGGAGCTGGGTTATTTTAAAGAAATTTTAAAAGAGGTAGGTACTATATATCAAATAAATTGGTTTTTGTTTTCTACAAATTTTTATTGTGTTAAAATACACATAAAGTTTACCATCTTAATTATTTTTAAGTGTTCAGTTCAGTGGTTCATTGTACATTCACACTGTTGTGCAACCATCCCTACCATCCATCTCCATAACTCTTTTTATCTTCTAAAATGGGAATTTTATACCTATTGAATAACAACTCTCTATTCTTCCCTTCCCCAAGCCCCAGCTACCACCATTCTACTTTCTGTATCTGTGATATTGATTACTAAGTACCTCATTTCAGTGAAATCATACAGCATTTGTCCTTTTGTAACTGGCTTAGTTCATTTAGCATAATGTCCTCAAGGTTCCTCCATGTTGTACTTTGTTGCAAAATTTCCATCCTTTTTAAGACTAAATAATATTCCATTGTGTATATACACCGCAGTTTGCTTTATCCATTTACCCACTGATGGACATTTGGGTTGCTTCCAAGTTTTAGCTACTGTGAATAATGCTGCTATGAACATGAGTGCATAAATATCTCTTCCAGACACTGCCTTCAGTTCTTTTGGGTATACCCAGAAGAGGAATTGCTGGGTCATATGGCAATTCTATTTTTAATAATCTGAGCAATCTCCATACACAGAATAGTGGTGATGCCATTTTACGTTCCCACCCACAGTGCACAACTGTTGCAATTTTTCCACATCCTCATCATTTGTTGTGTTCTGTTTTTTTTGACAGCAGCCATCCTAATGGGTGTGAGGTGGTATCTCATAGTTTCGATGTGCATCTCCCTAATGATTAGTGATGTTGAGCTTCTTTTCATAGGCTTATTGGCCATCTGCATGTCTTCTTTAGAGAAATATCTATTCACATCATTTGCCTGTTTTTGAATCGGGCTGTTTATTTTCTGTTGCTGAGTTTTAGGAGTTTTCTATATATTCTGGATATTAATTTCTTATCAGATGCATGATTTGCAAATATTTTCTCTCAGTGGAACTACAAAACAGCCAGAAAGCAATTAATGAGATGGCATCTGGTAAGTCCTTATATTTGGGGTCAGATAATTCCTTCTTATAGGGGCTGTTTTGTGCATGGTAGGATATTTAGTAGCAACTCAGACTTCCACCCTCTAGAAGCCAGTATCAGTTCCACCCCAGCTGTGAAAACCACAAAGGCCTGCAGGTGTTGTGTCTGGAAGGAAAAGGCCATGGATGCTGCTAAAAATGCTAAAGTACACAGGATCCCACACCCCATCACAGCAAGAACTGCCCGGCCTAAGATATTCACAGTGCTGAGGTGGAGAAACCCTGACGTAACTGTTCATTTTGCACTCACATTGCTTTATGTGTCAAAACAAAAAGAGCAATGTTCTCCTGGCATCAGCAAGATGACTCCTTAGGAGATAACATTCCTTTCTCAATCCTGTAAGGGTTTACGATGAACCACTACTTGTCTTCTACACGCAGATCTGGACTATGTACACTGTCAGTATGTTACTTTCATGTATAACCCTTTGTCTTGAAAACATATATAACTGTGCCTTGACCTCTAATGGGCAGAACAGTTCTCAGAGCTTTTTGGAAGACTATCTCCTGGGTTCTAATCCTTAGATTGGCTTGAATAAAATTCTCTGTTTCTTTCTTAGGTTGACTATTACTTAATTATTCTGTCAATATAATCTTCCAAGAAGCTGCATTTCCACTTGAGGTCTCTCCCTTGGGCAAATAAGGATTCCTTATAAATTCAGAAGTTTTTTCTCAGAATAAAGAAAACTTTACTTCCTTTAACACTAATATACATTAGGCCTACAAATAGGATACACTTATTTTAAAATTACACTTACATTTTTGTTTTATAGCATTAAATAACAGAGCTTGGGATCATCAGAATTTAGGAACTGAGAAGATAACAGTGGTCATTACCTCCTCCAATTAATTTTCTGCACTGTCTGGTAAACGACCGACATCGTCCTTTATAACAGAAAGAGTCGCCCGAATCACAACTCTGTCCATCACGTGCATAAGTGTCAGGCACACAGTGTGCGTTATTCCCATCACAGAATTCTAGAAAATCACATTCATCAACTGGTTGCCTACAAGGTGTATTAACTGGTTTTATCTGGAAGAGAAAAGAAACATAAGAAAAAAATTACATATAAATGATACCCAAGTTTTCTTTCTCTTTCAGCCTTGAAGTTTCCATCCGTTTTTTCTAAGTTGTTAAGAGCAATGAGGAAATTGTCTTCTTGTTACCTACTTAAGCATTGTACAGACATTTAGGTGATTGAATTTGTTGTGCTAAAGGAGTGGGTATTGCTTGTGAGAGATATGAGAAACTCAAAGATAAGCAGACTACCATAATTATAAAAAAGAAAGTAGAGCTAAATGATTATTATAAAAATTACTTTCAACCCACTAAGGATATGCTCACATGGGCAGACTCTGGTTTCTCCATATACCATCCTTAAAGCAGAAATCAGCAACCATTTACAAAACAATAAATATGCCTCACAAACATTTAGAAAAAAGTTTGCAGGACACATAAGAGAAGGTTTGTTTCATGTACCACATTGAAAATAACTGTAAAAAGTAACTTGTCCAATTATATATCTCTGATCTCTTCAGTGTTCACTGTTAGTTCATAGCTTCTGGGGTTCCCTTTATGCATATCTGCTTTTGAAAACAAACATATAAATACCATGACTGCAAACCCTTTCCTCAACACAAGTTCCAATTCCTTACGGCTATCATCACTATCATACACAAACTAAGTCAAATTTGTTCTGGCTTCAAAGGTCCTAGAGACCCAGATTATATAACATTCACTGCCCCGCCTCTGAAAGAGGGTTTCTAGACAGTTTTCTCATTTACAACAAGTATCTGCTACCTGCAGCAAATCTGACACAAGTTCTCCAAGAGATGGGTGGGAAGACAAAACAATACTTGTGTTACCCAAGCTTATAGAGTTAGCATTCAAATCAAAACAAATAATCAAAATTGTTTTCAAAAGAAAATACATATAATGAGAAAGTACTAATATTTGTTTCTTCAGAATATACTTTCTTTTACAAATGTGTATAAATGGCAATCTTCCTTTTATTCTAGTTTCTTTTACCATTAAAACTTTATTTTTTACAGCTGTTTAAGGATCACAGGAAAATATGAGGAGAAAGTACAGAGATTTCCCATATAACCCCTGCCCTACACATGCAAAGCAGGTATTACTAGAGTGGTACATTTGTTGCAACTGATGAACTTACACTGACACATCATAATCATTCAAACTCCATGGTTTATATTAAAGTTCACTCTTGGTGTTTTACATTCTACAGGTTTAGACAAATGTATAACGACATGTATCTACTGTTGTGGTATCATACACAGTATTCGCACTACGCTAATAATCCTTCATGCTCTTCCTATTCATCTCCCCTTCAGTCCCCGGCAACCACTGATTTTTCACCGTCTCCATAGTTCTGCCTTTTTCAGAATGTCATATAGTTGGAATCATACAGTATATAGCCTTATTAGAGTGGCTTCTTTCACTCAACTTCTTTTTCAATACTTAAATACCCAGATCCTTAAATGCCCTGTGAACCAAGCTTTATCACTGTACTTGCTCCTCCATTAAAGAGGGTTTATTTTCCTTTCCGTGGCTCTCTAATTCACAAACGACCCCAAAACATTAAACCTTCTGGCTCCTTGTTCCACATTATTTTCTCCTAAAATATTTTTATTTTTTTTCCTTGTAATTTTTAATTTATTTTTATTCTTGCCAAGACTATCAGTCTGCATATGTAATGTATAATTCTTATACAGGGCTGTTTCCCTTTACACAACTGAACCAGGGATGAGTGAGTTAATTTACTGCTTCTGACCATCATATCAGCCTTAACAGCATAGTAAAAAAATTACTGTGTATTTCAGAAAAATCATAGTCTGGGCTATGTACCTTTCCATAATTGGGCCCAAGAACTAATTAGAATCATAAATACTATCCCAGTCTCAACAGCAGTTGTTCAGGTATCCTTGGGGACATGTGAATCTTGTTTGTGCAGCAGAAAAATATTTCCTTTTGGCACACCGATGACACTACATAACTATACTAGTTGTATTTGACAGGTTGGTTAATTTTTTTTTAACATCTTTATTGGAATATAATTGCTATACAATGTTGTGTTAGTTTCTGCTGTATAACAAAGTGAACCAACTATATATATATATATATACATATATCCCCATATCCCCACCCTCTTGCCTCTCCCTCCCACCCTCACTATCCCATCCCTCCAGGTGGTCACAAAGCACAGAGCTGATATCTCTGTGCGATGCAGCTGCTTCCCACTAGCTACTTATTTTACATTTGGTAGTGTATATATGTCAATGCTACTCTCTCACTTCATCCCAGCTTACCCTTCCCCCTCCCCATGTCCTCAAGTCCACTATCTACATCTGCATCTTTATTCCTGTCCTGCCCCTAGATTCATCAGAAACTTCTTCATTTTTTTTAGATTCCATGTATATGTGTTAGCATACAGTATTTCTTTTTCTCTTTCTGACTTATTTCACTCTGTATGACAGATTCTAGGTCCATCCACCTCACTACAAATAACTCAATTTCATTTCTTTTTATGGCTGAGTAATATTCCATTGTATATATGTACCACTTTTTTATCCATTCATCTGTTGATGGACACTTAGGTTGCTTCCATATCCTGGCTATTGTAAATAGTGCTGCGATAAACATTGTGGTACATGACTCTTTTTGAATTATGGTTTTCTCAGTGTATATGCCCAGTAGTGGGATTGCTGGGTCATATGGTAGTTCTACTTTTAGTTTTTAAGGACCCTCCATACTGTTCTCCATACTGGCTGTATCAGTTTACATTCCCACCCTCTCCAGCATTTATTGTTTGCAGATTTTTTGATGATGGCCATTCTGACCCGTGTGAGGTGATACCTCATTGTAGTTTTGATTTGCATTTCTCTAATGATTAGTGATGTTGAGCATCTTTTCATGTGTCTGTTGGCAATCTGTATATCTTCTTTGGAGAAATGTCTATTTAGGTCTTCTGCCCATTTTTGGATTGGGTTGTCTGTTTTTTTTTTGATATTGAGCTGCATGAGTTGCTTGTATATTTTGGAGATTAATCCATTGTCACTTGCTTCATTTGCAAATATTTTCTCCCATTCTGAGGGTTGTCTTGTTTATGGTTTCCTTTGCTGTGCAAAAGCTTTGAAGTTTCATTAGGTCCCATTTGTTTATTTTTGTTTTTATTTCCATTTCTCTAGGAGGTGGGTCAAAAAGGTCTTGCTGTGATTTATGTCATAGAGTGTTCTGCCTATGTTTTCCTCTAAGAGTTTGATAGTGTCTGGCCTTACATTTAGGTCTTTAATCCATTTTGAGTTTATTTTTGTGTATGGTTCTAATGTCATTCTTTTACATGTAGCAGTCCAGTTTTCCAGGCACCACTTATTGAAGAGGTTGTCTTTTCTCCATTTTATATTCTTGCCTCCTTTATGAGAAATAAGGTGATCATATTGTGTGGGCTTATCTCTGGGCTTTCTATCCTGTTCCATTGATCTATATTTCTGTTTTTGTGCCAGTACCATACTGCCTTGATCACTGTAGCTTTCTGGTATACTCTGAAGACCAACAGCCTGATTCCTCCAGCTCCATTTTTCTTTCTCAAGATTGCTTTGGTTATTCGGGATCTTTTTTGTTTCCATCCAAATTGTGAAATATTTTGTTCTAGTTCTGTGAAAAATGCCGTTGGTCGTTTGATAGGGATTGCACTGAATCCATAGATTGCTTTAGGGTAGTATAGTCATTTTCACAATATTGATTCTTCCAATCCAAGAGCATGGTATATCTCTCCATCTGTTTATATCATGTTTAATTTCTTTCATCAGTGTCTTATAGTTTTCTTCATACACTCTTTTATCTCCCTAGGTAGGTTTATTCCTAGGTATTTTATTCTCTTTTTTGCAATGGTACATGGAAGTTTTTCCTTAATTTCTCTTTCAGATTTTTCATCATTAGTGTATAGGAATGCGAGAGATTTCTGTGCATTAATTTTGTATCCTGCTATTCTAATAGTTTTTTGATTAGCTCTAATAGTTTTCTGGTAGCATCTTTAGGATTCTCTATGTATAGTATCATGCCATCTGCAAACAGTGACAGTTTTACTTCTTTTCCAATTTGGATTCCTTTTATTTTTTTTCTTCTCTGATTGCCAAGGCTAGGACTTCTAAAACTATGTTGAATAAAAGTGGCAAAAGTGAACATCCTTTTCTTGTTCCTGATCGTAGATGAAATGCTTTCAGTTTTTCACCATTGAAAATGATGTTGGTTCTGGGTTTGTCATATATGGCCTTTATTATGTTGAGGTAGGTTCCCTCTATGGTTTTCTGGAGAGTTTTTAATCATAAATGGGTGTCGAATTTAGTCAAAAGCTTTTTTTGCATCTATTGAGATTATCATATGGTTTTTATCCTTCAATTTGTTAATATAGTGTATCACGTTGATTTACATATACTGAAGAATCATTGCGTTCCTGGGATAAACTCCACTTGATCATGGTGTATGATCCTTTTAATGTGCTGTTGGATTCTGTTTGCTAGTATTTTGTTGAGGATTATTTTTTTGTGTGACATCTTTGTGTGGTTTTGGTATCAGGGTGATGGTGGCCTCATAGAATGAGTTTGGGAGTGTTCCTCCCTCTGCTATATTTTGGAAGTGTTTGAGAAGGATAGGTGTTAGCTCTTCTCTAAATGTTTGACAGAATTCGCCAGGGAAGCCATCTGGTCCTGGGCTTTTGTTTGTTGGAAGACTTTTAATCACAGTCTCAATTTCAGTGCTTGTGATTTGTTTGTTTATATTTTCTATTTCTTCCTGGTTCAGTCTCAGAAGGTTGTGCTTTGCTAAGAATTTGTTCATTTCTTCCAGGTTGTCCATTTTATTGGCATATAGTTGTTTCTAGTATCTCTCATGATCCTTTGTATTTCTGCAGTGTCAGTTGTTACTACTTTTTCATTTCTAATTCTGTTGATTTGAGTCTTCTCCCTTTTTTTCTTTATGAGTCTGGCTAATGGTTTATCAATTTTGTCTATCTTCTC